TACGAGAAATGTAATCTTAAATTTGATCCTCCCTCTTTTAATATCATTTATATAAATAAATAAGACTCTTGAAAAAGTAAGATAAAGAGGAATTTGGAGTCTCGAAGAAACATAAAGAAGGGTTCTGGAGTCTTGAGATTTTGTGGTCCATTCTCAAGTGTTTGTTTTCAATTGACAGTCTGAGTTTGATTCAATTTTGGGATCTTCTTTCTTCTAGTTGAATTGGGTACTATTATTATTAAGTTACAGAAAAATGGAAGAGAATAGTTGACTGCTAAGGCTTTGCAATATTCTTGTAAGTCCATCTTTGTCAGTTCATTTTCATTATGCCAATAGTTCCCTTCCCACAATCGTTTTATATTCATGACAATGGCAAATTGGCAATAGCCCACAGTCATCAAGAAGAATGATGAAAATAACTTAAGATTGGTTTTTTTTTCTTAATTATATTCATGAAATATGAGGAATTCAAAATAAGAACCTCTTTCAACGTTATGAAGAGACATATTATTATTACTAAACGGAAAGTTTTAATTTTCATATTATATGTAGGTTTTCATATCCATTTCTTCCACCTCTCTCTCATCACTTCCTCTAATTTCAGTCATCCCTTCTTTTCTCTCACCTATTTCATCTAAATCTATGTTTAAAACAAAATTACATTAACACTTTCAGAGGCCAAGCCTGAATTTTATTTCATGAAGTGGGCTTAACTTTGGCTGGTACTGGAGCTGGAGAGAGTTGTGGGCTTTAAGTTTAGAAACATGCGTGGGAATTTGTATTTTTCTATGGGCTGAGCGATCAACATAACCAGAATAGCAGCGAAGTGACAAAAGTAAAAACCAGAAGAACAGTGAGGCCCATGAACAGGTGAATGAAATCTGACTATTGTTAATATGAAGGTCCACATCTATAGTCCATATATGGCACCCTCACTATAGAATGACTCTGTTAATATATTAGTGTTCATAATTCATATGGATAATTTTGGACTGTCAAGGGAAAAATGAAGAACAAGCCCATGTAGGTCTCTTTTCTAGATGACAACGCTTTTTTTAAATATATTAATTAACGGGACATGAGATATTCGAATTTGAAACATCTTCTAACATTAACAAAAAAATATATTGTTGGGCTTAGGCCCCGTTTTTTTTTTCCACCAAAAACCTGTTTCACTTTACTGCCACACTAGTCCCACCACCACCTCAACCTCCACCACTACCACCTCCATCTCCACCTTCACAACCGTTATCCCCACCACCACCAATATCACAACCACGACCTCCACCTCCACAATCATCATCCCCACCACCACCACCACCACATCCACCTTCATCACCACCACCATCGTCACTTCCATCTCTCACCACCACCACATATTAGGGCATAACACTTTCAACATCATGTCTATTTGATTCATTATTCACAGTTACAATAGTTTTATATTAAAATTTACCAAATGGTATTGACACTGCCTTTTGTACTAACAACACTTTAAAAGAATTGTTTACCAAATATGGAGCTGCTTTACTGTACAGCTAATTATTTTCAAAGCACATCATAAACAACTTTTTTTTTTAAAGTGACAGTAATCCCAAATTAACCCTAAGAGTTAGTTAATATGTGACGGTGGACTTGATTTTAAAGATTAAGCACACAACACTTTCAAAAGATTAGTCGTTCCTCTTTATAAAACAGAAAAAAGGGGTCAAATATATGTCACATTTGTGTGGAGCTTACTAAGACCACATCATCCACACACAATAAAGCAAAACTAAAATTGAATACAAGACTTAAACTGAAAGGTAAAGGAACTCTCTGTAGCAGCCTTTACATATATTCTCTTAGTCTTTACAGCCAAGAAAGTCCCATTATCATCAACAAAAAGCTTCGGCTTTGATATCAAAATCACTTTCAAAATAATTATGTTGCAAACTCTGCCAACAATGGAACTCTCTCACTGACACTGACTGCATGCAGATTCCGGAGAAGCAAATTTTCCACCACTAAAAGCTCCTTTATCTGCTTTTGTTTACTCCATCCAAATGCTTTATGGATAATATTAGATATGTGGCCTCAAGGATCAATCCAAGAGTAATAATAATAGTAGAGCAGGACAAAGACAAATTGCAGAATTTATGGAACAAATGGAGCCCATGTCATTTAAATTGTTTTCTTTTGTTGGTGATGGATAATTTGCAGACTCTTTGATCATCTATAAAATGTCATTGAATTCTAAATCGTAAGGAACAAGCCCGAGATCTTTTTTTCCGCACAACTTGAATGGGAAGTGAAGTATAAAAAATTAGTATAATGATGAATTATATAATGTTACGTGAAAATGATTATGAATTCATTCAAATTATAATATGTATATATTAATTATTGTATGCGTGTTATAATATGAGTGAACTGTCGACTGAGACGGAGCCAAAATATGTTATAACATCAGTATCAGTCAAACCCATAACATGTGAAAACTAAGAGAGTCAAAAAGTGAAACATGCGTGGTAGGAGACTAGCTCTAAAAGCTAGCTTTAATGTCGTGGACTGGACTGGGTGGTGAGTGTTTTGTGTGGGGCATTGCCACGTGTAGGAAGCAGGTTAAACGGCGTGGTGAAGGAGATGGTTAAGCTAGAGGCTGAACTGGACTGGACTGGACTGGAAGCAGGCGTCCATCACTCTGTCAATAAAACTGGCTTCTTATTTTCAATCTGCACAAAGTAAAAGAAAGCTTCAAGGACAAAAGAGAAGACTGAGGACTGAACTGCATTCATAATATATGTAACCCTAGTAAGAAAGACTTTCATGAAATTATTTTGCTATTTCTGGACAATAACGTTATGATATGAGTGATAACACTTTTACGTGGCATAACATTATTGGTCGGGAATAGCAAAATAATATTATCCTAGACAGTCTAATTTTCAATATAATATATAATATTTGATCAATTCACCCATTAATTCATTGGAGTGCCCATGAACCCCTATCCATTCCAAATGATCCCATGCAAGAAAGAAGAAACTCAACCCAGTCAACCAAACTCAATAGAAATTATTTCATTTCAAAATTTGATTTGATTTTTATTTTTCAAATATTGTTCAATTTATATTTGTAGATTCATTAATTGTTTGACTAGCAGGTTGCCCAATGACCAGCCCTCTGATTGAGCTGATTTCTGAATTAAATTTGTCTCGGGAAATAAATTTAGGTCGCGTGTCTGTCAAAGCACCCTATCTAGCTCTCTGCACTCTCTGCAATCTCAGTAAGAAAGGACCAGCAGCTGATCATCAGAGATCGTTTCCTTTCCTGACTAAATTTTCCTGAAAAAGAGAAGAAAATTCAAAGTAAAAATATATATGTAGATATATATATATATTTTTATTTTTTCTGTTTGTTTCTGGGCTAGATGGATTATTACTTACACGCTGGAAAAAAAAATTAAAATTTAATTAAATGGACGTACAATGAGTTTCAGGTGATAACATTTTAATGCACGCATAGCCCTGCCATGCACTGTGTACGAACTTGATTCACTGAGGCAGTATGCACCGTAGTTTGTGCACATAAAGTAGTTTTGTCCCCTATCCCTAATATATCTTTTTTGGAAACCCTACTTATATGATGAAAAAAGCCTTGGCTCTTTAAAATTGAGGAGCTATATTGTATAAATGTTCCGATAGAAGGATGCGATAATCTGTCTGCCGGATCAAAGAATTTCTCGGACTGATGACGCTATTCTTCTATTTGATTCATTATCATGTGTTTTAAATTGAAAAACGGGAAACAATTAGAAAAAAAATGGAAGGAAGAATTGCTGAGAAGGTTTGGACCAAGTCGTGGGGGAAGCAAGTAAAAGAAAAGAAAGGTAAACGATGATTTAGACCAAGCAAGTGAAAGTATAGAGAGGGGTATGTACAGTTGAATTTGAATTGGTACACACCGCAGCACATGAGGAATATGTTGGGTCGAACCAACAGCCAGAGCCCACGAGGCGCGCAGGGACTGAATCCTCTATTGAAACAGAGCACCGCACGTGACATAAAGACCACATCTTGTCATCGTTTCAGAAAAAAAATTCACACATTTTTTACTCATTACACCCCCAAACCGCAATATGATGCTTAAGAAACTTAGGCCTGTGTTTATGCATGGAGATAAAAAAAAGAAAGAAACATCGAGTTACAAAAAAATACTTAGGTTTGTGTTTGAGTTAAAATATCGATTTTAGGTTTGGGTTTACGTTACCGTGATTTATATATAGTCAAGTATCGATTTAAGGATGGTACGAGTCTAAGATGAATTTAAATCATGAGTTTTGTTGAACTTGAATCTCGAATTAATATGATTATATTAAAGGATTTGTACGAATATGGTACTAACACCTTAGGAAGTAACCATGTCTAACAACTTTAAGCAAAACCAAAACATAGTTGGAAAAATGATTTGAAAAGATAAACCCGATCACGCAAAGATATGATCTCTAGAAAGTTGTTTTAGCTAGTTCATGCTCTATATTTTAGGAAATATTTTTGCTCATCATTTTAACTTAAGGTGTATTAATTCTCACCATTCTTTTTAATTCTTGACACGTATCTATATGCATAACCATATACTTTGTATTAACTTTTTACTTTGTATTTATGGAACGATGTTATTCATATATACACTATATTGTATAAAGTGGTAAGCAAAAAAATGCTCAACTATATTTTAAATAATAAAAATTTCTTGCTATATATATTTCTCCCTCCATAAAATATAAAATATAAAGTAGTCACTATAGCAATTTCTCTCTCCTCAAATTTGTTGTATAGTGAGAGTAAGATAGGTAAGTATTATTGGAGCACCATTTTTTTAAATTTATATTTTTCTATATTTAATCTTTTATTGTAATGAAAAAACATATAAGGAAAAAACAACCATTAAATAAAAGCAAAAGGATTTTTGGGAGAGTCTATAAAAGGCATGACAAAGTGACAAGTGCTTCACTTCTTTCAATTCTTCCTCCATTTCATTTCCTCTGCAAACTTTCCCCCCCTAAGTTTTTTTTTCCTTTCCCTCTAAACTTTGCCGGAAAATCAATCAACCCCAATGCCATAATAAAAAATTTCAATTTTCTCTCACCGTTAATAACTAATTAATTGCACCTTCAGCATCCGCCGATCGCTTTCGTTTCTCTATCTCTCTGCGGAAATGAAGGCGTGGGATTTCGACGACGTGAAAGCAGAGAAAGCGAGCGCGATGCGAAGGTACAATCGCCTCCGGAGCGTTGCCAAACTCTTTCGCTTCGCCGAGCTCGGCGCCGGCGTTGTCTTCGTCTCATGGACCTTCTCTCGTCTCCCCTTCGCCCTCACTCTCTCGCGCGACTACTTCCGCCTCCTCTCCGGCGTCGTTTCGAGCCCCCTCTTCGTCTTCTTCCTCTGCCACGTCATCATCGCATCTCTCGTCCTCAAGTCCCGCCACGTCGCCCCGGCTCATAACCACGACGACGCCGTCGAAGCCAAGCTCTACGAGGAGCTCATAGAAAACGGCGGTGGCGGCAGCGGCAGCAGTTCGAAGTCTCAGTTTGGAGACGACGTCATTTCGGGCGTGAAGGAGGAGGAGGAGGTTGTGTACCAGGACAAGCAGATCGTTTCCGAGGTGAACTCGGCCGATCCGAAAGCGGACACTGACTCGACCTCGGACTCGGAATCGGAGTTTCCGAAGATTATTCGGAGGACGAGGTCGGAGAAGTTCGAGAGAGAGCCGAAAACGGCGAAGCTACGGCGATCGGAGACCGAGATTGGCCGGAATATCATGAGGGCCGGCGAGGATTATCCGCCGGAAAATATGGAGGAGGAGGACAATCTGAGTAACGAGGAGTTTCAGCGCACCATAGAAGCTTTCATCGAGAAGCAGTTGAAGTTTCGTCACCAGGAGTCTCTGGCCATTGTTCTTCCAAACAAGAGCTAATTTGAATTAAGAAAAAAAAAAAAAAAAAAGTGGAGAGAGAGAGAGAGAATTAAAATGTTGGTTAATTGGATGTAAGCCACGGCACGGCTACCTGAGGTTATGTACAGTAATTTCTGGTTGAAATAATCTTGCTACAATCTCTTTTTTGCTGAATTAATTTGTTTTGCATTTTTCTATCCGAGCCTTTTTCCTATTTTCGATCAATAACACAATGATACGTAAGATAATTTTTTCACGTGTCATTATGTTATTGGTCGGAGATAGCAAAACAGTGTTATTTTTGTTAAATGTAAAAAAATTTAGTTGGATTGACATCAGTCTGACGATGCAAGGAATATGTTAATTAGGGAATTTATTCTGAAAATCTGAACATTATGTTTGTGCACCAAGTGGACTACGTAAGTGAGGAAAGGAACCAATATATTATACACTGTGATATGATATGTATAATTTGGTATTTTTCTGGTATAATTAAATGGTGGAAAAATAGAGCGTAGGAATCGAATAGAATTCCAACTTCCATAAAAAGAGTTGTATGCGTGTAAATATGCTTTTGTTACCTTTGATTGATACATGCATTTATAGAAAATTTAGTATTTTACTGGTAAAGAAACCACTACGTTTGAAAATTCAATTTAAAAAATAAAATAAAAAATATTTGAAAATTCTCACTTGTTCAAAGCTCTAAAACATTATGGTGGTTAATTAATTAATGAAAATAAAAATTATGGTGGTTAAAGTTAAAACCATCAATTCAGCAAAAAATATAATTATGTAACGGTGGTTTAGCTAGTTTATTAGGACAGTGAGCCCGCCCCCTTGCATTTAAGTTCGAATTCTCATTTCCGTGAATTATATTAATTTAAAGTAGTAAATACTATTATTTGTATATAAATATATATAATAAAAAATGGGAGTTTCACTAAAATACCCAAAATGGGGGCTGAAATTATAAAAATACCCAACACCCAAAACACTTTATAAACATACCCAAAACTCATCATTACACACACTCAAAACCCATTTATAAACATACCCAAAACCCATCATTACACAAATACCCAAAACCCATTTTGGGTATGTTTCTATGTTTAAATAGTGCTTGGGTATTTTTATAAATACATGTCTAGGATTGGGTATTTTTATAAATACATGTCTAGGATTGGGTATTTTTATAAATATCTAATAAAAAATCCTCATTACCACCAAGTGGCTTTTCAACCCGTAGCTAATACATAAGGCCATCTTCAGTCATGGGCTATATCTCAAATATAGCCATAAAATAATGCAAAACTCATCTCCAGCCATTAGCTAAATAAAATTTTGGCCAAATTTGGAGGGCCACATTTTGCCCTTTAGCCCTCCAACCGGGCCACATATAGTCCACCTTTAGTCTAGGCCAAAATTTTGTGGGCCCATGCATTTGCTTTTTAAAAGCCAACAGTAAAGCAAGTTGATGTCATAGCTGGATATATATATTTTTAACAGCCTCTATTTCAATTCGTGTTGTTGAAGAGAAAAGTATAAAATATTATTGGTCATGAATCAGACCATTGAAACCCATTCTCTCCTCTTTTTTTTTTTTTTCCTTTTTTTCTTTTTTTTTTTAAATTTTAATAAATGTGGTGTTTTCAAGTGTTGTTTAAAAAATGGTTTAAATGTGGTCAATTTTAATAAATGTTTTCAAGTGTTGTTAAAAAAAATATATAAAAAACTCTTGGTCATGACCGTTGGAGACCATTGCCACGTGGACACAAAATCTTATTAGAAATTTTGTTCTTATCAACGTATACGTGTCATATGTGGAATATTGTCTCCAAATACTAGTTTAATTAAATTAAACAATATATAATTGTGGAGTTGTGGAATGTATGAGTGTTGTACTGTAGTTTTTCTCAAAATAATAAAATATGAAGGACCCTAAAATATAGCCATGCATGGCTGGAGATGGAAAAATTTAGCCCTGCACTATTCTTTAAAAAATTAATATTTTGGAGGGCTAAATTTTAGTCATGGACTACATTTAGCCCTATGACTGGAGATGGCCTAACAAACTTGGATTGTTGACAAGAAACACTCATTTTTAGAATAAAAAAAGTTCAATAGTTGATTCTAGTAGGTATGTAATATGGTGTATAATTGATAATGTAATGATCACTCGCACCATTAAGCATTGCCCCACCCACCCAAGCAAATCATATTATTATTATTTTTAGAGTGATCATATTCTTATTCACTGTTAAGTAACACAATTATATAGTGGATAAAACAGCAACAACCGCAAAGGAACCGTTTGTATAGTGATTTGAAGCAATTGCTACCCCAAAAAATATAAATAAAAACAACACCGACCAATCATCATAAAGTTATATGGCAATAATTTTCTAAACCAAATTGTACTTTAACTACTCCTGTGATCTCCAGACCGAAAGTCACTTCTACTTTTTTTT